AGCTGTGGAAACACAAACGGGGGTTTTATTGAACAAATAAAAGAATGAAATAGGGCAGGCAGACGACTGACAAAATCTTCAAAACAACGGGGCAACTCCTCCGGAGAGGCGGTACATGGAAAGCAACCCATTCAATAAGGTTAATGCAGCAAGATCCTAAAGGAAAGTCCACAGTGAAATTCAGTCCATGAGAAATCCCTACAGTAATAATCCACACAGAATTAAGAAATGATAGGTAGAATGTGGCAGAATTTTTTCAGCATTGACTAAAATAACCTGTTCGTCTTCCTTTACCTGTCAGTCAGGTGTGAAGTCTCTGACCAATCAGAATCAGTAATTATTAAACAACTACCTGGGAGAACTGAAAACACGGCCTGGATTTGGAATCGAGGTCCAGAGTTGAAGAACCCTGATTTAAGTGATTCTCTCGTTAACACAGGTGAGAGTGTTGATGAGGACAAGGCTGGAGATCACTCTGTCATGCTGATTGAGTTAGAATAGCAGACTAGATGCTTTAAAAGGAGGGTGGTGCTTGAAATCATTGTTCTTCTTCTGTTAACCATGGTTACCTGCAAGGAAACACATGCAGTTGTCATTGCTTTACAGGTGTGAGGGCATCTGCACGCACAGTGAGGTAAAGACTTTTGGCCGTGTTTCAAGAAGGGCAGCAAAGAAGCCACTTCTCTCCAAGAAAAACATCAGGGACAGACTGATATTCTGCAAAAGGTATCTCTTGGGGTTGGACTGCTGAGGACTGGGGTAAAGTCATTTTCTCTGATGAATCTCCTTTCCGATTGTTTGGGGCATCCGGAAAAAAGATTGTCCAGAGAAGAAAAGGTGAGCACTACCATCAGTCCTGTGTCAGTCCAACAGTAAACCATCCTGAGACCATTCATGTGTGGGGTTGCGTCTCAGCCAAGGGAGTGGGCTCACTCATTATTTTGCCTAAAAACACAGCCATGAATAAAGAATGGTACCAAAACATCCTCCGAGAGCAACTTCTCCCAACCACCCAAGAACAGTTTGGTGACGAACAATGCCTTTTCCAGCATGATGGAGCACCGTGCCATAAGGCAAAAATGATAACTTAGTGGCTCGGGAACAAAACACCAACATTTTGGGTCCATGGCCAGGTAACTACTCGGACCTTAATCCCATTGAGAACTTGTGGTCAATTCTCAAGAGGTGGGTGGACAAACAAAAACCAGATCTGTCATTGTATTGTCTGTAGTGTCAAGTTTTGTTTGGTGTTCGTCGCCATTCTACCCTAAATAAACCCCATTCACCCGTAAGCTTGGCTCCACTCGCCTGCTTCCCGGCTCGCCTGCTCCTGATGTCTGACACATGCTCTCATCTTAACTAAATCAAAAACTATAGGATATACTACGAAGTGAGATTTCCATGCACCCTTCAAAATCCATTCTACATTACTTTATCCATCACTCACTCACTCACTCACTCATGCACACACACACACACACACACACACACATACCTGTTTGTTCATCACGCTACTCCGAATGGTGCACAATTATTTCTGGAATTTTCCATTGAATTCTTTTAGACCATGGGTAACTGAAATCGTGGAAAGTTAAACCACAGATGTTTATGACCTCAAAAAAATTAAGACCTAATTAATATAAGACTATATAAGACTTTTCAAGGACTTAATTGGTTCAACTCAAATTAAAGAAATTTTAAGATTTTTTACATAAATAAAACTACACAACCAAAAAAAAAAAAAGATAAAATGGACTCTCAGGCTTTGTTAATAAAAAATTATGTTATTTATAATAAACATTTGGCACCAAACAGGGGTGACGGAAGGGCATGGGTGCCCTGACAGATTCAGGTAAAATCATAATCATAATGAACCGTAAAATCATAATACAGTATTATGTAATGTAAAGGGGGGCCCCCAAGGTGACATTTTGTCAGGGCCCAGAATGCCTAGCTACTCCACTGCACAGGGGTATAGAGCGTTATTCGTTCCTTTACAGGCAATACACTACCAACTCAGTATTGCGGAGGCTCCGCTCAGTGATGCGAATGAACCTCGATCGCACACCTGGTGAAAACTAACAGGACATCAGAAAGAAGTTGGACGAAAGATTGCACATAAATAGCTTTTCCATTATCAAAATAATAAAAATGGCTAGCACGTTAAATGGCTAGCACGTTAAATGGCTAGCACGTTTGAAGAATGGCTGACTGAGAAAGTCCAGAAATACTAGCATTTACTGTATGATTTCTCGTTAAAGGTTAAAATGCACGGTAATTTCTTGTCATAGCAGCGCAAATGCGCATAAAATAACATTATGCTGTTACAACAATCGATTGTCACATATAATTTTTAAAGGTGAATGCGTACTTACCAGTTATGTGCATTCCTTGTCATATTTTACTTTAGGTTTATATCTAGAGATAGATGGAAAGTTGTAGGATTCTGCTGGCTATTATAAAATGTCACATTTGCTTTTTCTACGGTTCACCTGCATTGCATGAGAGGCCCAAGGATAAATAAATCAGTACTTTAGCTAAATATTATTTTAAAACAGTAAGGGGAATATTTGACGTTTGCTTTTATCTCAGTTGGTTTCGGAACCAATATGTATGGTTGTCGTTTAGTTGTAGTTTTTATTTTATTTTCGTATCTTATTTTATTTCAGTTTATGGAATTATTTTCATTAACAATTATGGTACAGTACACGGATAATCTTAATAAAATTCTTATTAATTCTTATCCATATCAGAATCAGAATCCTTTTTGTTAGCCAAGTAAGTTTGTATACAAGGAATTTGCCTTGATGGTGCATTTCAAAGAACGCTTAGCAAAGGCATTTACAGAGACATAAAAACGCTAGATTAATATTTGGGTAATAGAATAATTATATGATAATAATTATACTACAGTTGTAGTAATGATGATAATGATATAATTAAATGTGTAATTATGTATGTATGTACACAGTAATTATTTAACTATAAATATAAACAATATGAATATAAACTATATAAAATATCATTATTTAAAGGCCTCATATAGTACAATTAAGTAGCAGCCAAGTCAACTCTGCAAGAGTGCAATATGTATAAAGAAAGTTTACAGTATGTGTGCATAACGTGTAAGAGTGCAGAATATAATTGTATAGAAAAAGTTTATCAGTGGTTCACTGGTTATACTGGTCAGTAGTTCACTGTAGGTGACAGTTAATTCAACATCCATTCAGAGACTGGATTGGTTAATGAGAGATGCAGCATGAGGGGTGAAGCTCTTGGCGTGTCTTGTGGTCTTGCTTCTGATTGCCCTGAGTCTTCTTCTGGAGGGTAAGGTTTGAAAGACGTGGTGAGCAGGGTGAGATGGGTCCTCAGTGATTTTGCATACTCTATCCTGACTCTGCTGATGTACAGTGTCTGGAGGGAGATCAGGTTACAGCTGATTATTCACTCTGCTGAGTGGGTGATGTGTTGCAGTCTGGCCTTGTCTCTTTCAGTGGTTGATCAAAACAAGACTATGATGGAGGAGGTGAGGATGGACTCAGTTATTGCAGCGTAAAACTGGACCATCGTAGAATGAGAGAGATGGTGCATTTTTGACTGCCTCAGAAAGTAAATCCTCTCTTTGTGATGGAGGTGATGTTGAGCTGCCATTTCAGGTCGTGGGAAACTGTGGTCCCTAGGAATTTTAACAGTATGACAGTTGAGCCTTGTAGGGTTATGGGTGGGACACTAGGTGGGGGATTTCACCTGAAGTCCACCACCATCTCAACAGCTTTTTGGGCATTAAGCTCTAGGTTGTTTAAACAACACCATGATGTCAATTGCTTGACCTCCTCTCTGCATGCTGACTCGTCGCTGTTCTGAATCAGTCCAATCAGGGTTATGTCATCTGCAAACTTAGTGAGTTTTACAGTGGGGTCCCCTCATGTGCTGTTGATTGTGTACAGAGAGAAGAGCAAAATGGGAAAGCGCACAGTCCTGTGATGGTCCGTGCTTCTGAGAAGCGTTTGCCCATTCTCACGTGTCCTGTGTGTGAGGAAGCTGGTGATCCACATGCATAATGCATCAGGCACACACTTCATAAACATGACTTTTAAGAGGAGCTTGGTCTGGTGTGTTGATGCCAGAAGTATGAACATTAAGGACTGTGGCCGGTCCAGCACTGAGTTGCATGCAGCAAGACAGAGAGAAGATGAAAGGGCAGAAGCAGCCCGACTGGCTACAGTGTTGGGGGCATTCATTCTTATGTAAACAAACGGGTGTAAACATAATTTGCTAATATTGAGATCAGAAAAAGATACTGAAATTAAGTTCAAGTTTATTTATATAGCACATTTACGGACAACCACTTGCTGTCCCAAAGTGCTTTACATGTGATAAAAAAATACGCCGCAACAAACATATGCAGCAAATTAAAAATAAGCAAAGAGTAAAAAGAAAGTGTCATATTACAATTAATCAGTATAACTAAACTATAAAATAAATAATAATAGATTAATCAGTATAACTAAACTATAAAATAAATAATAATAGATTCATCAGTATAACTAAACTATAAAATAAATAATAATAGATTCATCAGTATAACTAAACTATAAAATAAATAATAATAGATTCATCAGTATAACTAAACTATAAAATAAATAATAATAAATGTCAAGCACAACTGGAATGAAAAGCCAATTCAAATAAATGTGTCTTAAGTAGAGACTTAAAACTTTCAAGGTTCTGAGCAGCTCTGATATGAAAGGGAAGAGCCGGTATCTGAAGAGCTTAGGCAAGATATGAACCTGACCCTGAGCCACCAAATTTTCCGCCAAATGGAACAGCAACTTCAATATCACACAGCGTATCATTTAGATGTTTTCATTCATTGGCAACATCTTACAGCATTGACGATTTCTTTTTGTGACTGCAGCCCCCCGGTTTCTGAGGCATGGGAATGTGTGCAGCCAGCGCCAAAAGATGTGCTCGGCACAGCAGCACCATCACCGCCTGTGTCGTCCTCGGCACTGGGGGCACCTCTTGTACTATTGTCTGTAAGAATAAACAAAAGTAACACCGCATCTGCGTCCTACTTGTTATTCATAAACATGCAAATAATTCAAACAAGAATGGTAAGAGAAAAACTGCTGACATCGGCGTCCCCCTCCCCTGATAAAAGTGTGAGACCGGGAATTCCGCTACCTCCGCCTGTGCTGTTAAGACTCTTACGGTGAGCGGCTGGTTTTTTCGCGGCAACTTTAATATTCGACCATTTTAATTTCAGCCACCGTGCGATTTTCGGAGCCAACACTTTTAACTGACTCCGCCAAGCTTTGGCACTCCGTCAACTTTCGTTTATTGCTATTGCCACTACTTAAACCACCAAATAATATCACTTTTCTTTTCTCGATTTCTGTTAACATTACCTCCACTTCACACTCGCTGAAATATTTCTTTTCCCCACGTGGTTTATCCATTGTTGTTTAAGAAAAACACAGAACAGTGCGGGTACTTATACAGATTTACATATGCACATATACATAATTATGGGGGGGTGGCTTTTGGCTCTTTCACGTGCGTAAAATTTCACGCTATTTGGGATTTATGAAGGGAATGTGCGTAGATCTGTGATTACACAGAGTTTTGTGCATCTGGATTTTTTGTTACGTATACGCATATCAATAGTTTTGTCCGTACGCCATTTTTTTGTGTGAATTCTAGGCACGTCGTTATACATGAGGTCAATAGCTGGTCCTAGCTCATCCCTGTATATAAGAACCCACTTGCATACAGTTCCTTAGTCCATTCGTTGTTGATTACTGTGTCAGACTATGTATATATTAGTATTTATATTAGCTCTGGTAGTGTTTAGTGTCGCTCGGGTGTTATTGTGTTTGCTGTCCTATTTCCCTGATCCTCACCTCAGTGTCCAAATACTTACTCCCTGTCTGAAAGCCCATCTCAGACTTCAGAGAAATCTGGTCACTAAGCATTTCTCCTATTATATGTAGATTCACTCATGCTCCCCAATAAACCACAATCCCCTTGCGGCACCTCTGATCGCCACGCGTCAGGCCCGGTTCTGAGGCCCTGCTACCATCCTTTGCAGAGCCGCCCAGGAACATGCAGGACAGGGGGGTGTCCCTCGAGGGTCTGGTGATTATTACAAGCATCACTTTGGCCTTGACAGTGCAGGCAATATGCAGTAGTCTCAATTGCCTGTTCATTTTCTGTTTATGGAACAACCAGAAAAACACGATTCATCTCTATAATCTTTTAAAAACACAGTAGGACCAAATCTCAAAGGAATCAAATTTCACTAAGGTCTCTTTCTAGATTAATCTCAAATTCTTGTGGAAAGTGAGTCTCTTCGAAGTCACTGAAATGAGCACTTACCCATCTGGGTAACCTTAAGGATGGGAAAAAAAGCAAGATATCAAAGGATACCAAACTGCCCAATGTTAAACCTTCGGCTCCAAGCTCTTGTTTTTCTTAGCCTTTTCAAATTGCCATGGCCACATACGTACCTTGTCCCTGAGGCTGAGATTGTTAAACCATTCTAAAAGTTTCATTGCCAGAACCAGGGGGCCGGAGGAAGCTCCTGTGTGTGAGCAGGAAGTACTCGATAGACGTGGGTTCCACCACCAAATGCTCCTCCATAAGATGCATGGTTAGTTGTCCAGGCCTCCCCTGGGAACGAGCCACAGAGGCAGATGGGTCACAATGCTTATAAAGGGAAGTTAGCAGCATTGCTGTGCAGAGGATGCAGCTGTGGTGTCAGACGGAAATGAAGTACACATGGATTACGACAGAGATCCTGATTATGGGTAACGGCAAGTGGAAATTTAAAATAAACTACCTTTCCCCCCCACTAAAGACCTAGAATTGAACATCACATGATAGGAGCAGCGTCCGAGTATCCTAAAATAACTTTTGATCTGAAATTGAATGAAAAATCATGTTTTTTATCAATAAAAATAAAACAGACTTTAGTTCAGTTTTACTTTCTCTAACAATTACACTACCAGGAATTTCAGGATCATAGACATGTCATGTCTCAGCTCCTACTGGCAGACACTATCCAACTGTTGAAAAGAGACCTTTTCTTGATGCAAGTATGGCCCTACAGAGAGAAAACCGTCTTCATCCCACATATAATCAAGTCACAGTCCTGTCCTAGGAAGCTGGAAGGGCCCCTGAGTGCTTTCATGGGGCCCAAAATCTTCTACTAACGCCTCAGTTTCCGTCTCAAAACTTTTGCAGAAATGTAGCAACACTGGATAGGTGACAGGACTTAGAAATAATGACAATAGTAATCAAGATAAGATTTAAGGACCAGGATAAGGCGGGTGGACATTTTACTTGGAAAGGACAGACACTTTAGGCTGGGAATCAGGCAAAAGTATTAAATGTATCGATGAAAAATCTCACCCTAATAAGAATGTGGCCCTCTCTGGTGCTGGGGTGCTCCAGCTTGTGGTGCTCCTTCTCCATGACCATCTTGCTGATCTCCTCCACCTTCTGCATGTTCTCCTACAGTTGGATCATCAAGATGTGTATCGCATCACCTCAGAGATGGAGATGCACATCTCTAACTATAGGTTTCATTGTTTTAAACATCAGTCCATCGACTTTATGTTCTTCCCAGATAGCAATTGATTGCGGGCCGGATAGACCTGCGAGTCTGCAGATCTGCTTTACAGTCAGTTACGTCTTGCGGCGCTGTGCAGATTACGGCTCCAAGCATAAGCGGCCTTCACGCTCATCTTTCGTAGTCGACGTGAGTTCGGCACATGAGTCCGCATGAGCTGGCTGAGCTGATGCGCGCGCTGTCATTTTAAAATGGGAGGTGGGGAGCGGTGTGAGGGGAGCCGTTAGTCAGTCCGTCAAAGTTACTGTTCACGGTAAGTCAGCTCTATAGTTTCTCCGGACCAGCAGTTTAACATGTAATTGCTATATTTCTTAAATATGTCATGAAATGTTTTGAAACTAATTTTAAAACACTACATCTTTTAAGATCCCTTTCCAGATCCTTGCTAATTGAGTCTTCTACTTTCAAACAGCACCAGTACAAATCACTTTAACAGGTATTATTTAGCCAAAGTGTTTCCTCAAATCTTGTGAGTTATTCGTCTGAGCATGTTAAGCGTTACCGTGATTTTTTTTTGTTTTAATACCCGTTTATGTTTGTGTGTGTGTGTGTGTGTATATATATATATATACACATAAAACTACATTTCAGATTTTGATTTCTGCCTCTGGTGATAAAGCTTTTCCATCCTGCACCTTTGGGTTTGCCTGGATATAGAATCATATGAATGCCATTATAAAGAATAAATCTGTAAAAGAATAAGAGAATAAATGCGGAATAAAAAGGTAAAGTGCAAATTAAAATGAAAGAAAAAGAATATAAATGGTTTTCTTTATTGCTTTTCTCGGAGAGCCAAGCTGTCAGTCAGCTGGCACCTGCCAGAATCGGCTGGAAGCAGCGTGTAGATTCGGGTAGATTCAGGCTCATGTCCGCCGTGTATCCGTTTTGTGGATCCGGATCGAGGGTATCGCTTTTGGCAAAGTGATGTCACGCTGCAATGCATTATGCGCATTTAACTGTAATGAAAATGCTTCAGTTTAAGATACCAAGTGAGTTCGAAGAGTGTGTGAATGCTTTGAATTGTGCAATACAATCAAACTGATACAAGTTTTCATTATTATTATTATTATTATTATTATTATTGCATTATTATATCTTATTTTTTTCCTTCGTTGTTTTGCCAAATTATTTAATTCATGGAACTATAATGTGTAAGACATCTTTTTCTGTTTTAGTAAATATGAGAGAAACGAATTTTGGGAGCTCCGCCCTCTAGTGGTGGCGCGTGTTTCTTTATCAACGGGAAAATATATGTTACGCACTCAGTTGACAAAACGTGAACGACTTTAGTTGTTTACCGTATGTACTCCTGAAGAAAATATACATAACGAGTTTTTGTTATACTTTCAGTAATTGTGCATTTTACTTTACATTGTATTGTTACTTTTCATAATTATGGCTATATCAGATCAATATAAAGTACCAGGTTTAATAAATTATAATGAGTTCGGCTAAATCTCCACCCACCTGCCTGGGTCCTTTATATTATGCGAAATACGGTAAGAAGTAATGGCTGTAATCTCGCGATGACTTCTTTTCATGTTGCCGAAGAGGAGGGAGATCCGAGCGGGTCTAGAGGCGCCAGGTAGACGAGTTTTTGCTGTCCCATGCATACTTATGTGGTGTATGTGTTAAGTTTCTGCAATGATCATATATTTATGTATTTCTTTTTGCATAATGTACTTCTCCATGTTGTTTCTCGGATCATATACATTTCGTGGCTATTTGTAGCATTTATTGATACGTACAGCTGTTGATCGTAAGCTAGCGAGTTCGGCTAACAGTTCACAAGGTTAATAGATGCTGATAGATGAGTGTTTTTGCGGACAGAAGCTGATAGATGAGTTTCTGTATGGAATATAGGACATCACACAACGGTTTGTTTTTTTTTATAGCTAGTATGTTTATGTTTGCATAGTTACGTAATACGTTCCAAATTAGCTGTTCAGGGTGAGACGGAACTACTCGAAATTATTCTGGTTGTGGCTACACTTCACACATGTATTTGCTTTGCCACTTAATACTTAACATTGTATTTTCACACTTCCAGCATTATCCCATCTGCTCTGTGAGTGTGGAGTTTAAACATTCTCGTCCCCTCTGTCACCCGCGCTTCGGGTACTCTGTGGTTTAGTGAGTGTGTTTGTCCCCATCCGTCTCCGTGTCTTGAGATGGCCATGCATCCTATCTTCTGCCCAGTGGTCTTGTGTACATCTGATTTAATTCTGTTTTATAAATAAGGTGCCCTTTTAATTAAGTAATGTGTGTATCTTGCCTGCACTCCTTTTATTACTGCCTCTGGGCTGAAATTTTACAGCTCAGTTTGGGTCCAGATTTGAAACTGTAATTTTATATGAGCATAAAAATAACTAAGCATATTGACTTATTTGTGTGCATATTATCTTCAGGGGTGGCAACTTGTCCCATCACTGCAGCAAGATGGATGGCATGGATGATGAGACCACAGTGTTCACGACGTTAAAGTCATTCAAAAGCTTCATTTCCAAACCTGAGACCTCTCAGAAACCACCTGATTCCAGTTTGGCACATCATCATCTCCAAAGACAGTACCTCCAGAGAATTGAGGTTGGTAATGCATGCTAAAGGTGTTTAGTGATTCCAGGGGTACTGTAGAGGTGATCAGTCTTTATGTATTGTTAGTGTTAAATTTGCACCACACACTGTTTCATGCTGTGGCCTGACATCTCTCTCATTTAAACACAACATGCTCATTAGGCTTAAGCTTCCTGATGGCTGTTCCCTGCGCAAAATGTGGTTTTAAGCCGTGTGATTCAGTGTGATCTGTTTGAATGGTACAGAGGTAGTGGTTATTAAAGGCACTTTTGCCCTGGTTAAGTAGGGCTGCATAATATCACATCACAGTATAATCTCAGTTATATGGCGCATGCGCAATAGTCACCAGGGCTATAGATAAAAGGCGAAAACATTTGTCTGAATGCCAGCAGAGCACGTCACATGCTACTATTTTGGTATATCATGGAAGTGATGAGCACTAAGGTGGCTGTGAAGAAAGGGGCAGCTCAGCAGTCACAACATCTTTTGAAAGAGGAGATATTTTGGATAGACAAGGTAAAAAAAGATGTCTGTGGTGTGGCGGTATTTCTTGCAGTTTAAAGTTTGACACATTTATACAGATTACTAACTTCTGGGCTTCACAATGATTTTTGTAATCTGCTTACTAAATTGAGGGCGTAAGTAAATGTTCATATTGTACTGAAAAGCCGCAATTCAGAGAATATGCCTGTCATCTAAAGCCCTGGTGATTATTGCGCATGCGACATACAAGTTGCGATTAGCCATGTGATATGGTGCAGCCCAATTGTTAAGCAGCATACGTGGTGTGACTTAATCTTCCGGAGCATAGAAATTGAGTGCCTGGGCAATAAAAATGAAATAGCTTTATTTTAATCTATTCACCTCTGTGATTTTAATCTGATTGCTTTAATAAAAAGTTGTTAGGGGTGTAAAAAATGACAAACTGCACATGCTCTCAGTGTGAAATAGTGAGATGTAGCACTAGGGTAGATATTGTTTGTATTGTTACTCTTTTCGTATGAATAATTTTTGAATGTGTGCAAAGAAATTATTGATCTAGAACAGTGGTTCCCAAACTTTTTCCAGCCACGTACCCCTTGAGACATGTCAGCCTCAGCCGCGTACCCCCTGCTTCCAACGACTCTTAATTAGTGTCTATAAATAGATTGCAATACCGCAT